GTTGTTTATATAACCGTATATTACGCATTCTTTATGGCAACCGACATTCGCAAAGGAAAGAGCATACTTATACACGCCGGAACAGGAGGAATTGGCCTGGCAGCAATTCGCGTGGCATTGGCCTACAATTTGGATGTGTATACCACATGCAGTACTCCACTGAAGAAGAAATTCCTCTTGGACACCTTCCCACAGCTGGAAGGTATGTAAGCTGTGTCACGTATTGGTTTACTGCTCAAAAATAAAAGAGATTTCACGTTTTAGGTTCGCACATTGGCAATTCTCGAGACACGTCCTTTGAGCAAATGATACAGTGTGAAACCGATGGAAAGGGTGTTGACTTTGTACTGAATTCACTCTCAGAAGACAAGCTACTGGCGTCGGTGCGCTGTCTTGGGCAGTCGGGCCACTTCCTCGAGATTGGCAAATTCGATATGGCCAACGATACCAAGCTCGGCTTAGGCTGTTTCCTCAAAGAGCTCACCTTCCATGCGGTGCTGGCGGATAGTCTGTTGGGGGCACCCGATGATCATATTTGGGTAATTAATTTTTGTACAATTTTGTTACTCCGATTTATTGATAATCTAATAAAATCTCATTTTGCTTGCAGCACTTGAAGAAACTCATTGACATGGATATTTCCAGTGGCATAATACAACCATTGCCAGTCACAGTGTTTCCGGCTAATGAGATTGAGCAGGCATTCAGACATTTGATTGGTGGCAAGCATATTGGCAAGGTCATAATTAAAGTGCGTGATAACCCGGAAGCAGCCGAAACTCTGCCAGTACGTGTCCAAAGCCAAATCTACTTTAAGCCCCATATGACTTATGTCATTCCGGGTGGTTTGGGTGGATTCGGCTTGGAATTAGCCGATTGGATGTGCTTGCGTGGTGCCCGCAAGCTAGTGCTCAGCTCCAGCCGTGGCATTACCAAGGACTATCAGTCCTTTCGAATTGCGTATGTATTTGCTTATTTCAATTGGATTAACTATAAACATCTTAATAATTTTGCGGTCGCTCTCTCTAACTCGCAGACTTTGGAAGACTTACGGCTGTGAAGTTGTAGTCAACACAGCAGATATATCAACAGTTGAGGGCTGTCGCAATCTCTTGGTGGAGGCTGCCAAACTGGGTTCAATTGGCGGTATATTCAATCTAGCAGTTGCCCTACGTGACGGCATCTTTGCCAATCAAAATATGGAGCAATTTGTGCAAAGCTTTTCGCCAAAAGCGGTTGCCACCAAACATTTGGATGCATTATCCCGCACCTTGTGCCCAGAGCTGGACCATTTCGTAGTATTCTCAAGTGTGTCCTGTGGTCGTGGAAATGCTGGACAAACCAATTATGGCATGGCCAATTCTGTCATGGAGCGTATCATCGAGGGCCGCAGCCGGGATGGTCTGCCAGCCAAGGCCATTCAATGGGGTGCTGTGGGCGAGGTGGGATTAGTCGCCGATATGGCCGAAGATAAAATTGACTTGGAAATCGGGGGAACGCTGCAGCAAAGAATCTCATCATGCCTACAGGAACTGGACACACTACTAAGTGCGAAATCGGCCGTTGTAGCCAGTATGGTTGTTGCCGAAAAGCGCTCAGGTCGTTCCGGAAATGAAAGTATTATCGATACGGTAATGCACATAATGGGTATACGCGACTTAAAGTCTGTCTCGCTGGGCACAACACTGTCCGAAATGGGCATGGACTCACTCATGTCCGTTGAAATCAAGCAAACGCTTGAACGTGACTTTGAACTCGTAATGACTCCTCAGGATCTGCGGTCACTCACCGTCCAAAAGCTGCATGAGATTATGGAGGCAAGGGAAAAGGATAATTCGGATGCGGTGAAAATGATCTTAGCATCCGAAGGAAAGCTAATGGGTATAGAGCTTTTACTGCGTAACTTTGGTGATGAAGCCCATTCCGATCAGATAATGTATTCCCTTCAAACACATGGGAGACTGACAAAGCAAAATTTTCCACCTAGCATTATAATACCTGGCATAGAAGGAACAGCTGGCCAAGCATGGTATAATATTGGAGCCAAGTTGAACAGCAGGGCGAATGTATTACAACTCCATCAGTTTGCACAGGTGGAGACTATCAATGATATTGGTCAACAGACATTGGAGGTTAGTATATTACAGATTTCGATTTCTCGAATATATTTATGAATAAATCTTTAAAAAATAATCATCACTCTGTTGTTGTAGCATGTAAAAGCCCTACTGAAGCCCACACATCCATTCTACCTTATTGGATATTCTTATGGATCGTATGTGGCTCTTCAACTGGCCGCACTGCTGGAGCAATTGGGTTACCGTGGACATGTTCTTTTGATAGATGGTGCACCGCATTTCCTAACGAAACTTACGAACTTACATCTGGGAGAAAATTTCACAGATAACTCCCTGTATGACTTGCTGTTCTCAAGTATTGTCAATCAAATATTCCCAGAGGAAACTAAGGAGAGCATATCTGCCGTTTTCCACAAGCTCGACACTCTCAAGGAGAAAATGGATTTATTCATAAAATATGTGGACAAACAGAATATCTACAGCAAAGAATACTTCAAAGTGATGATCGAGGCCTTATTCCGAAGGGTTAAAATCGCAGCGAAGTTCGATCTGAACAGCATAAGGGACTTGAAGTCTCCCATTATGTTAGTCCGTCCCGCAGAGGTGTCCCTAAAGGATATCGAAGAAGATTATTGTGTTTCCCAGCTAACTTCTGGTAAAGTAACCCTAAAGGTCATCGAGGGCAATCACTCTACAATGTTGGAAAATCCAGTCCTACCTCAGATTATTAACGATTTTGATCCTGGACTATTAGATGACAAGAACTTTGAAGAGTATATTCGAGATGGTAAGCCAGTAGCCGTGGCCTAATATTCCCGTTAAATAGTCTCTCTACTTTTACTTTTCACTTTATCGCATTAAGGCTTGCATCAAAATCATTGTAAAAAAAAAAAACATGTTTTCTCACAAAATTCAATTTTTAATATGATAGACAGTTGTTTTTATTATCAACTTGCTTAAACATCGATTCGGGTGAATGATTTTAAATTTATGAACGCTCTTAACTGATTAGCAAATGGCACAGACCGTATATTTATTTGACGACGACAGATCGTTGAACTTTGTCAACTCAAGTTGTACTTTTCAATCTGTCTTTTGAAAGGAATTCCCTAGAATATACAATTCCTTCTTTAAATATAACCTACAAGAAGGCCTCTGGTTCACAGCGGCGGTCGGGACCCTGTTAGTTACAGTTAGTATTATTAGAGGGGAGTTGCTTATACCTACTTTACTGTCCCCTAAAATTTGCGGTATCTGAGCTGGTGATCGATCCTCGCTGTCTATAATCACCATGAATCTCTGAATGCGAGTTAAAAGAGATTCCCTACAAATAAACCTATTACCTATTCTGAAGTTTATTTGCTAGCATCCTTCTTGTTTATCTTGTCTTCTAGAGTGGATATACTAATATGTAATATAAACTGGCACCGTAATCAATTATAATTTTCAAAAGGTGAATAGATTTTAAAAATACAACATTAATCATTTTAATAATTCATTTAATTCAATTACTTTTTTTTTTGTATATGACTAAAACAATTTTATTTGTTTATTAACTCCTTAAGTGTTTGGAGTGCACTGTTCAATGTTCATGTCAACAGTGAATGTTTTTATACATAATAGATTTGGTTCTGATTTTATTTTTATTGTCTTACACAGTCATTTTTACATTATTACATTATGTGTATTTTTCTGGTATATGTTTTTTTTGTGGGGATTATTAAGGTATTTTTGGTTGGTTTTATATTTATACTTATGTACATAAATATCTGTTGTATGTATTATTTAAAAAAAGATTTTTGTAACTGGTATTTTGGGACTTTTAGTACGTGATGCTATTAATATGTATTAATATGTATGTCTCCGCCTCCAAGATTCCCGCATTTAAGAGCTACAGTTACCAAACATCGAATTACTAAGATCGTCCTCCAACATCTTTTTTGCCACGCCCAAAGTTCTCAAAACCCATATCTCCCGCAATTTAAGAGTTACAGATACCAAAATTGAAAGGAAGATTACTAAGAACCATCTCGGTATTTTTTGGCTGCGCCCACTCTGCTCCTTGCTTCCGGCTATCAGCTGGTATTAGTTATGTTATCAAAGAATTTCTCAGTCGGTTACGCCTGACTGCAACGTTCTCCGTTGTTCTTATTTTATACATTTGTGTGGTTTCTATAGTTTTTTGTTTTTGCTTTCGATTTGTCTAAATAGTGTCTTATTTTCGATACAGTTGCCACGTTATTTTGACCATAAAAGAATTCTGGCAGACCTACGATTTTTTCTTCAACTAGCACTTTTTAAAAACTTAAATAAGTATTTTGCTGGGATCAGCTGACTTTTATAATTTCTTTCGGTGCAGCTCCAGCTGCCGGAAGCCAAGTGTAGACAACCAAATTGGCTGCGTTATAAAAGCTGACTTAAACGATCTATCGCCGGTAGGGTAACCTTCAGTATGCTCCGTTTGCGCTAAAGCTTTTTCTCAAAGCTCAGCTTTTTTACGCGCTTAGATGCACTGCTTTGTTTATGTATCGGCCGTTACAGCTCAGGCGACAAATTGATCGGAATCGGTTAACGCTGCAACTCTATATTTTCTTATGTTGCCTACTGACCATTAAAAGTAAAGGAGTATTGATGAACTTGATCCAAGTCATCAAATTTATCTCGAGTGAATATTTAAACAATACTCGTTTATTTAGTATAAGCATAATCAATATAATTACTACTTATTCGAATAACCAAACACATTCGAGCCATACAATTTAGAGTAAAGGTTGAAAAATTACGAAATGTGACCAACTATTATGAGTCAATTTGGAACCAGTTACAGAAAATTAAGAGTGTAGAAATGAAATGTAAAACGAGTTTAATCAACACAAATTACAAACCATATTTAGAAAATACTTAAATGTCGCTGGCTCATGTTTAACGGGGAGTTTTTAGTGCCTGCAGCACCGTTTGCTGGAGCAACTGCATCTTATGGTAGCTGGCAACGTTATTAAATGTGTTGAGGAGCGTTTCAATCTCCTTGCCACTGATTAGGGGCACAAAATTGCCAGCATAGGTGCAGAACTCGGCGAGATTTTCGCGTTTGATTTCGTTGCAGCGCACACAGCGCAGATCCTGGAGCACATAGGACATCACTTTGTGCTGCAGCACATCAATCATGCGCATCTCTATCTCCTCATTGTCGTAGGCTACATAGCACTGGGCGCATAGCCAAACAGGACTGCAACCAAATCAAATAACATTTATAAGTTGATATGTAATTATGAGAACGGCTGCACCACTCACATGCCATCCTTCAGGGCGAGCTGTTTGTCCTTGCAGAGATCCAGGTCGCGACAATGATTGCACGCCTTGCAGATGACCTCGTTGATTATGTGCGTATCACACGGATCTGTCCAGTCGGCCAGATCGGAGAACTCACCCACGTCCTCACTTCTCGCCTGACTCTGACGCAACGTTGTGTTGCCCGCCGCAATTGAGGTGACCGTCTTATCAATGCCCTTGGGCAATTTGCCTCGAATGCCGAAGAAATTGGACTGATCCAGCCAGAGCATAAAATTCCAACACTGCTCAAAGCTCAGCTGCATGGAATGGAACATTTCCTTGTTGCGCAAACTCTGCACAGTATAATCGACATAGCCCAGCACATCCGACACCGACTTCTTGCCCGAGCTAAGTATGATCCGATTAAAGTCCACATAAACAATGGTGGCGTCAGACGCTTCAACTCGGCAACGACGCGCAGAAACATCAGATTGCTGAAGGATCTGCGCCGTTCCCTTGAGCACGTATGAATTATGCAAAGCGTACTGCATTAGCCACACAATTGCACATTTTCTTCGATTTAGAGTGCAACGTTGTACTTGAATATTTATAATTTTTATACCGAAACTAAAATACATTAAGTCAACTGCAACGACTACACATATCTATCGATGCACACATTTTTATACTAAAAATGTAAAAGCATTTGACATCACAGTGCACGGCAAAATCAATTGCTTAATTAATTTGGAATTCGTTGACTTTCTTGCTGGGAAGAGTATCTGGTCAAAGTATTCACCACTTTTATTCCTTTTTTGACTTTGTGATATGCCCTTCGTAATAAGTGTATAAAAGCAGCTAGTGGGTAAGGTATGGGTTTAATTGCTGTTTGTCTGGCAATTCGTTCGCTTTCTCTCGCTGGATTACATTTCGGAACGAAACGCAAACTTTAACCATATTGTGATATATATCTTAGTGTACAAGTGAAATCAAGCCTGTCAAAGGACGTTTAATAAATAATAACATTACCCCTAGTACAAATCAAGTGTTTAAAACTCAAAGATATGGCTTCTGACATGGCAAAAAAGAATAAAAAATACTCTAGATCGCGTCCTGATACAGATGGCGATGATATTGTTATTTCTGGAATGGCCGGGAAATTTCCCAATTGCAAAAATATCTCCGAATACGAGTACAATCTTTACAACAAGGTTTGCAATCGCACAATCGATTTAAATAAAAATGCTTATGTGGAATTACTTCAATTCAAAAAATTACAACACAAGTTTGAAATGGAAACAAGTTATATTTATTACAACAATCAACAGTTAACACTTAATTCAACAAGATACACGACATTCGTTAAATAATATTTTAATACGGAATTAACTGATAAAAACAATGATTTGTGTAGTTCATATTTATCTGGAATAATATATATTTCTTGATTAATTCAAGTGACTCTAAAAATTTATAAATATATCCAAAATTTTCATTAAGTTGATACCAGATAATATAATATATAAAATTCATAAATTATATGTAATATAATTTACTGAACTTAATTCCACAATATACGAGACTTTCATTTTATAATATTTTTTAATATTTCAATATGAAAATATCTTTCGGAAACTACGATCTGTGTATTTTAAATTTATGTGGAAATATAATTTATATATTTCTTGAACAATTCAACCCTTTAAGTTAATACAAATATTTCCAATTTAAACCGGTCAAAAGATTAATCCAAATTCAATAATTTGAGTGACTTTCTTTTCCTAATTTTATAAAACAGAAATATCTACAATTTGTATATTTAATTTTTAGTCGTTAAACATTTTTTTCAACATTTTCATTTAATAATTGCAAGACAGTGTAAAAAAAAAATGTTGGGTGAGCAAAAATTTAATATTATAATTAAATATAATGTTATTTAGTCAGTCTCCATTTTTCTTATAAACAACTAGAATGATTTTCAATCTTAAAAACTAAAGAGTTATTAATAATATCGATTACATAATTGGTCATTCTGATTCACGCTAATATTGTTTCATCAGATTGACATGGTAGATGACGATGAGCGTCGTTGGCGTCATTTTAATCCTGAGATTCCCAAGCGATTTGGTAAAATCAGCAATCTGGAAAAGTTCGATGCAACATTCTTTGGGGTACACTTCAAGCAAGCGCATACTTTGGATCCACAAACACGAATTTTGATAGAGACAGCGTACGAAGCTGTCATTGATGCAGGTATCAATCCGAAAAGCCTGCGTGGTACGAAAACTGGCGTCTATATCGGATCTTGTATATCTGAGTCAGAGAAAACTTGGTTCTATGAGAAGGTTTCGTCGGGGGGTTTTGGCATCACCGGCTGCAGTCGCGCAATGCTGGCCAATAGGATTTCGTACACCCTTGGTTTAGAGGGCCCGTCCTTTTTGCTTGACACGGCTTGCTCCAGTTCAATGTATGCCTTGGATAATGCATTTAGTGCAATTCGAAATGGTGAAATTGACGCTGCAATTATTGGCGGTGCCAATTTGTTGTTGCATCCCTTTGTGACCCTTCAATTTGCACGGTAAGCAGCTCTTCGCTTGTCATCACTATTGCTTTTGTAAAATACTCATATTCCATGTTTCAGACTCGGTGTTTTGTCGCAGGACGGTTACTGTCGCCCATTTGACAAAGATGCATGTGGATACTCACGCTCTGAGGCAATTAACTGCCTATTCCTTCAGAGGAAAAGAGATGCGAAACGCATCTACGCAAGTGTGGTTTATTCGAAAACCAACTGTGATGGATACAAGCCGGAAGGTATTACCTATCCATCAGGAAATATTCAAAGAAAACTACTATTGGAATTCTACAAGGAAATTGATCTAACACCAAATGACATGGGTTACCTGGAAGCTCATTGCACTGGCACCGTTGTGGGTGATCCCGAAGAGTGCAAGGCCATTGATAGTGTGCTGTGTAGCCAGCGTCAGGAGCCACTTCTTGTGGGCTCTGTCAAATCAAATATTGGACATTCGGAACCTGCCTCTGGTATCTGTTCACTAGTGAAAGCGTGCTTTGCTTTCGAAACTGGCCTAATAGCACCCAATATTAACTTTACCGAGGTGAAAAGAACAATAAAAGCACTGGCGGAGGAACGTTTAGTTGTGGTTAAGGATGTCACTCCTCTGCCAAAGCCATGTATCGCAGTTAATTCATTCGGGTTTGGTGGCGCCAATGCACATGCCATTCTTAAAGCACATCCGAAGTCAAAGGTAAACTATGGAATACCTGAGGATAATCTGCCCAGGATTGTGACATGGGCTGGCAGAACGGAGGATGCTGTCAATGAGATTTTCAATGGGATTGAGAAGAAACCGTTGGATGCCGAGTTCATTGGACTGTTGCAGAATATACAAGAGGAAGAAGTATCCGGCATGGTATTTCGAGGATATGGCATATTCGGCAATAACGGCAACCAACCAACAAAATCTTTGGTTAGGAATGTTCAGCATTACACTGGCCTTAAGCGGCCCATTGTCTGGGTATTCAGCGGCATGGGTTCACAGTGGAACGAAATGGGAGCATCATTGATGATGATTCCGCGCTTCCGGCAATCCATTGAAATCTCCCACAATACATTAGTTCCGAAGGGCCTCGACCTCATTAATATCCTCACTTCGAACGATCCTGCAATTTACGAGAATATTTTGCACTCTTTTGTCGGCATAGCCTCTGTACAAATTGGTCTGACTGATGTTCTCCGTTCACTAAACTTGGAACCCGATTTTATTATTGGACATTCCGTTGGAGAATTGGGTTGCGCCTACGCAGATGGAGGAGTAACGGCTGAACAAATGATACTAGCTGCTTATTGTCGTGGTCGAGTCAGTATGGAGTCTAAAAAAATCAGAGGTGGTATGGCAGCTGTGGGCATTGGGTATAGGGCAATTAAGAACTTGCTGCCGGAAGCCATTGAAGTCGCCTGCCACAATAGTGCCGACTCCTGCACCATCTCGGGACCCATTGATGAAGTTCGACGATTCGTCGCAGAACTAAAATCGAAAGATATCTTTGCAAAGGAAGTGCCATGCTCGAATATTGCATATCATTCAAGATATATTGCATCTATGGGACCCCAATTGTTAAAATATTTGAAGGAGATAATCACACAGCCAAAGACTAGGACAGCCAAGTGGCTGAGTACCAGTGTGCCGAGGAGTGAATGGGAACAAACTGAAAATAAATTGTGCTCTGCCGAATACCATACCAATAATCTGCTGCACAGTGTACTCTTCGAGGAGACTTTTGCAGAACTACCCAAGAATGCATTGACTATTGAGCTTGCTCCACATGGTTTATTGGGCGCCATCCTAAAGCGATCTATGCCTAATGGTGTTTATATACCACTAACCCATCGAGGAAACAAAAACAATGCGCTCTTCTTTATGACCGCACTTGGCAAGTAAGTAACGCGTTCAAATATTGAATATTAATATAAATGTATTAACTTGTAATCATTTTATTGCAGATTATATGAAAATGGTGTTATGGTGCCGGTGGCCAACTTATATCCCAAAGTTGAATTCCCTGTTTCACGATCAACTCCGGGCATTAGTTCTCTCATCCGTTGGGATCACAGTGAAGATTGGTTTGTGACGAAGTATGAGAATATGAAGACTAAGGCCAGTGTAGAGCGCGTTTTCCTTATTAACTTGGCCAGTGATGAAGAGTGTATGGGTGGTCACATTATTGATGGTAAAATTCTCGTACCCGCTACTAGCTATTTACAATACGTTTGGAAGACGTTCTCTCTAATGCATCATGGGCCAAGTTACACGGATATTTCAGTCGAATTTGAGGAGGTGCAATTCCTGAGAGCCACAAATATGTCAGTTAATGGAGAAGTTGAACTGAATGTTATGATTAACTATGGCAGCGGCCACTTTGAGGTAGACTAAATTCGTTATTCTTATGCAACTCTTAATGCATCTGAGTATATAAATATATTGATTTCAGATAACTGAAGCGGGTAGCTTGGTAGTTACAGGTAATATAAGAGAGATTGAGAAGCCACTCGCACCGGAAATATATAATTTCCAGAACGAATCGAAATTCCCGATGCTTGCCAAAAAAGATTTCTACAAGGAACTAAGACTACGTGGATACCATTATAATGGAGCGTTCCAACCCGTTCGCAGCGCTCGAGCGGATGGATTATATGGAACGGTTGAATGGGACTATAACTGGGTGACATTTATGGACGCAATGCTACAAATTCAGATATTGGGCACAGATTCGCGCTCCCTCTTGCTCCCAACGAAAATTCGTAAGCTTCGTATAAATGGAATTCCTCATTTCGATGTGATAAACAAAATGGATCCCGAGAACCGAATTATTGATGTTTATGTGGATCATAAGAATAATCGCATTGTAGCCGGTGGCATTGAAGTGATTGGACTTCATGCCAGTCTGGTTCAAAGGCGCAAACCTCCCGGCATTCCAGTATTGGAACAGTACGAATTTTTGCCCTATTTGCCAGCACCAGAAATGACTC